ATCTCTCAATCAAAATAAAACACTTAAGGTTGATGAATTAATAACAAAATTTTGGGAGCTCGAAGATCTGCCACAAAAGACAGTTCTCGGCTACAATGATATTGAATGTGAAAAACATTTTGTGAAGAATACATCTCGTTCTCCAGAGGGCAGATTTTGCGTGAAGTTGCCTCTAAAGGATACTCCCGACTGCCTTGGAGATTCTTACTTTCGAGCCAAACAAAGGCTTCTAAACCTTGAAAAGCGATTTAAAAGAAATCCAGAGCTAAAATTACAATATACAAACTTTATGCGGGAATATCAAGATTTAGGTCATATGTCTGAATCACCCACGAAAGAACAATATCCATCATATTTTTTATGTCATCATGCTGTCTTTAAAGAGGAGAGTGAGTCAACCAAAATTCGAGTCGTGTTCGATGGCTCCTCTCCCACAACTTCAGGATATTCTTTAAACGATATATTGATGGTGGGCCCTAACGTCCAACAGTCGCTTTTTTCCATATTGGTCAGAGCCCGTCAACACAAATTTCTCTTGACCGGTGACATAGCTAAAATGTACCGTCAAATAAATGTCAATGAAGAAGACAGGGACTTGCAACTGATCTTGTGGAGGGAAAATGAGAATGAGCCCATTAAAACATGGCGTCTCAATACTACAACATATGGTACTGCAAGCGCTAGTTACTTGAGTACTAGATGTTTAAACCAAGTTGGAGAGGAATGTGGTGAACAATTCATCAAAGATATCATACAAAAGGATTTCTATGTTGATGATTTGATCACCGGCTGTGATAATGAACTAGAGTTACGTCACATACTAAATTCAGTAACAAACGCCCTAAATTCAGCATGTTTCCCCTTGAGGAAATTTAAAACAAATTCAAAGGTTTTGTTTGAAGATTCAGATTTGAGTTCTGCAGATGTCTTAACGTTAAGTGAGTCTTCGCACACCCTGGGTCTTGGTTGGGACCCTGTGAATGATACTTTCAACTTTCCAATCAAGGTTAATACTGACATTGATATAAGCACCATCACAAAAAGAATTATACTGTCGCTTTCATTTCAAATCTATGACCCGCTTGGTCTTTTGAGCCCCTGCATTATTCAAGCAAAAATATTAGTCCAAAGGCTATGGCTAGAAGGAATAGGATGGGATGAACCCACTTCTGTGGATCTTAGGGAGAAGTGGTCTGAAATCTACAATAACCTGTCTTTTCTTGCAAGTCTTCAGATTCCCCGCAGGGTGCTGTGCGAGTCTCCGACATCTTTTGAGCTGCATACCTTTAGTGACGCTTCGCAATGCGCTTATGGTGCTTGTGTATACTTGAGATCCACGAGCTGTGACAACGAGATCACGGTGAGGCTACTATGCTCAAAGTCAAAGGTGGCACCTCTTAAACCGTGCACCATACCTCGTCTCGAACTCTGTGCCGCATTGTTAGCTGCTAGACTGTCTAGGAGTGTACTTGATTCATTAAGAGGGCTCCCTACTCGTACGTTTCACTGGTGCGACTCGAGTGTGGTGTTGGGATGGATTAACAGTAATCCAATGAAGCTTAAGCAATTTGTTGCTAACAGAATAGGCGAAATACTGGAATTAACTAATCCCAAATCGTGGTACTATGTTCCAACTGACTCCAATCCTGCTGATTTAATATCTCGTGGAGTCAATAGCAACCAGCTTTCTAGCATGGAATTGTGGTGGTCAGGTCCTAGTTATTTAAAAAAAAATGAATTAGAATGGCCCAAATTAAACGGAAAAACAGTAGTTGAGAACTTACCTGAAGTCAAGGTACTCACTATTGCGATCGTAGATGAGGGAATACCCTTAATCGACTTTAATAAATTTTCGAATTTTGATAAAGTACGTAGAATTCTGGCTTTCGTGTTGCGTTTTTGCCATAATATAAATTCTAAAACTAAATCCATGAAGTATACAGGGTATTTTAGGCCCGAGGAGTTGCAAAACTCATTTATTTTAATTTGCAAAATTAATCAATCATTGTGTTTTAAGGCAGAGTACGAGAAACTTTTGAAGGGCGTTGCGTTGAGCAGTAAATCGAAAATTTCGTCTCTATCACCATTTTTGGATGAGCAGTTTGTAATACGTGTTGGTGGTCGACTTGGTTCCTCCAACTACCCATTTGAAAAGAAGCATCCCATATTAATTGACTCCTCGCATCGTTCGACAAGGTTACTGTTTGAACGTGAACACATCAAAAATCTGCATGCTGGTCCACAGCTTCTACTGGCTACCTTGAGAGAAACCGTTTGGCCTATTAACGGCAGGAGGCTCGCTAGAAGTGTCGTAAGGGATTGTCTTGTTTGCAGCCGTGTGCGCGGCCAAACACTTTTAACCAGAATGGGCGATTTACCTGCATATCGCGTATCAGTTGATTTTCCATTTAGGACTGTTGGCGTAGATTATGCTGGTCCTTTTCTTATCCTAAATAGAAAGGGTCGAGGCGCTAAAGCAACAAAGTGTTATTTATGTATTTTTATATGTTTGCGATTCAAATGTATACATTTGGAGGCAGTGTCAGATTTATCAATGGAATCTTACATAATGACCTTCCGTAGATTTGTAGCGCGTCGTGGTAAGCCAGCGGAGGTATATTCAGACAACGGTCGAAATTTTGTGGCAGCAGCCAAAGAATTGTCTAGTTTTTTAAAACAAAATAATAAACGTCTATCCGAGTTTGCATCTCAGGAGGAAGTAAAGTTTAATTTTATTCCGGCTTACGCTCCCCACTTTGGCGGAATGTGGGAGGCTGGTGTGAAATCCGCAAAGTATCATATTAAAAGAGTAATGGGAAATACGCATCTTACGTTCGAGGAATTTAGTACATTATTAGCACAAGTAGAAGCAATTTTAAACAGCCGTCCCCTTTGTCCCATGTCTTCCTCTCCAAATGACTTACTTTCCTTATCCCCCGGGCACTTTTTGATTGGAAGACCTTTGAATGCTTTACCATCAGCCGCACTGGAGGACCTGAAGGAGACATCTTTAAGCCGCTTCGCCCGTTTGGAGCAGATACGTCAGCATTTTTGGAGAAGATGGCAGAAGGAGTACATAACCGAATTGCAACAACGAACAAAGTGGAAGACAACAAGGGCGACGCTTAATGTTGGAGATTTAGTACTGATTCACGAAGATAATAATCCCCCGCTAAATTGGAGGATGGGTAGAGTTACACGATTATATCCTGGATCAGATGGGATTTCTAGAGTCGCTGATATTCATACCACTAAAGGATGTATACGTCGGCCGTTGGTTCGACTCTGCCGACTTCCCGCTGCTGTTGAATTTAAAGGTTGAAGAACTTGGCTCTTCAACGGGGGGGAGTATGTTCGCGCCCCTATAAACCCCACATATACATACATATAAAAGAAAAGGAATATTACAAATCATAGCGAAAACTTGCATTTGTATAACGGATGGCGCCATCTATTGAATGGGACACCGGAGCGCTCTTAGCCCAAGCGTCATTGGTTGTCGCCGGCAGATAGCAGATGTCGCCCGCGTTCGTGTGTTCGGCTGGTTTTACCGACCATAATGTCATGACTTGTTAAAATTGTTAAATTCATTCTGTCAACAAAACTGTTACTGCTAAATTGATTTTATTATAACATAAAGAGAAATTACTAAAAACACCGAGTTTTTATTGAAGAAGACTCCACTTCTATGCCCAAACACAGTGCATTTTATCTCTCGCAGTAAGGGAACCATACGGAATGTAGCTGCACGCGGAGTTCCACTGAACTGAAATCAGGGCAGTTAGACTTGTTGCAAACTTCACAGCCGCTATAAAGTTTAAGTCACACTATAGTTTTCACATTTTTAACTGATTATATTCAAAACACCCCATAGTCACTAGACACACCTCTAAATTTTGCTATTAGGCGACTATTAGACGTTAGGTTTTGCTGCCAGTTTGCTAGCAGTCAAGTTAGTTACTGATGATAACATGTCGTTTAATGGGGTTAATGACTTAGATTAAAACTAAAAAGGTAGACACGGCACTAGCCTCACGAAAGTGATCCGCATGAATTGTGGTCCACGACCCTAATCGCTTTAGTCACAACTTGACATGCAAACGACGTACATGTGAACGCCAAAAAGAAATATTGCTAATATTTTGTGTTTATATGATAAAACAATGCCTAAATGTGTTTTTAAAAAGTGCTCAAATTGCTCAAGAACTAAAAATAAAACCCACGGCATCACTTTTCATTCGTAAGTACTATAAGATAATTTTTTTCATAAAAATTGCTGTTTGTTTTGAATCTTATTCGGTAGTGACGTCGAGTACTGGTCGCGTGATTGGTCGGTAGTGCAGTGACGCGGATCTCGCCGTCTCGTTCGCGCTGCCGTTGAAACTTAACGTGCTGTTTCGTTCGGGTCGGTAATGCAGTGACGCGGATCTCGCCGTCCCGTTCGCGCTGCCGTTGAAACTTAACGTGCTGTTTCGTTCGGGTCGGTAATGCAGTGACGCGGATCTCGCCGTCCCGTTCGCGCTGCCGTTGAAACTTAACGTGCTGTTTCGTTCGGGTCGGTAATGCAGTGACGCGGATCTCGCCGTCCCGTTCGCGCTGCCGTTGAAACTTAACGTGCTGTTTCGTTCGGGTCGGTAATGCAGTGACGCGGATCTCGCCGTCCCGTTCGCGCTGCCGTGGGATCAGTTTTTGTTTGATGCAAGTATGAGCGTACCGTATCTACCCTTTTTGTTTTAATCTAAGGTTAATGATGACTCTACAGCCACCATCCGTTTCATATGATTCATGACTGATGGAATTGACTGACATCTGCATGCACGTCTCTAGTGCATATAGTTATGAAGGTGGCGAAAATTGGCAGTAACGCTGTCATCTTTGTAAACCTCATATTTTGTATGTCATTTAGGGAGACAGTGGCGCCTACCCTGAACTGTCATTCACATTCATAAAGATCCTTTTAGCATTAGACAAGATTAAGACAAGGTTAAAATATTATGAACCTGTAAGAGCTCTTCCGGCGACTGCGCGTGAGTGATGAGTATGTTGATCATCGCCTGGAAGTCCACCTTGGACGGGTCCTTCTTTATACTGCGCAGGAACTCGTTCAACTGCACGTCGCACCTGGATAGTTGTATAATTATGATGTAATAAAACTAGTTTTTACGGGTTAATACACAAACTCAAGAGAGGCTTGTTTCGCCGGTTCTTCTCAGAAAGGTCTCCCAATTTTGGAACCGGTGGTAGTTTACGGTAGTTAGGGTCAAATAAATAAACTCAAAATTACAAAAAAGAATTTTAAATAAAATACTTTATTAAGTAAATTAAATAATAAATTCATACATAGACAATAAAACTTTAAAAATCGAACAATGAAATAACCGAACGCTCGATAAAAGTCTTTCGAAGGTAGCTCGACAAATTAAATAAAAGTTTGATTCTGACGACGTAGCCTGTAAAGGCTACGAAACGTCAATAAATAAATAAAGTTTCGTGCATTAACCCGTAAAAACTAGTTTTATTTAATGAGTGATGTGCGTGAAAACTGTAATGTATGTATTAGAGATGTTATAAATTACTTTCAACCTTAATACTAAGTAATAAGATTGGTTTTGTCAACAAAGTTAATATTTTATATTGAAGGTATCCACAACTGTTTTCGTTATAATTTTATAAGGTGTCATCCTTCCTTCTTGAATAAACCGTTGTACAAGACGAACGTGTTTTCATTACGGCAACTCACAAACAGTTCATTGGATGGCGACGATTTACGAAACCCTAGTGCGGAAGTTTAAAATAGTGAAAAATGTCAGTCGGGAAATTGGAATATTTTGACCACCAGGTGGATAATTGGACATTATACGTCGAAAGATTGGAGCAGTATTTTATTGTGAATAATGTCAAAGAAGAACACAAAGTGCCCACGTTGATTACGGTGATGGGCAGCGGCAGTTATGAGCTACTGGTAACATTATGTACACCTAGTAAACCTGCAAAAAAGTCATTCGTCGAACTGGTTACCTTGATGCAGAATTACCTTCAACCGAAGCCGAGCATATTAGCGGAGCGATTCAAATTTCGTCAACGGATGCAACGCAATGGCGAAACGATCGCGGAGTACTTGGCCGGTCTAAAGAAATTAGCAAAGTACTGTGACTTCAACGAAGAGATTGAAAATAATTTACGAGATCAGTTTGTTTGTGGATTGCATAATGATAATATTAGACAAAGATTGTTCGTGGAAGAAGCGGTGACATTTACGAAGGCATTTCAAATCGCCGTATCGATGGAGGCGGCTCAGCAGGACGCGGCGGCAGTGCAGATGCGGAGTACCACGCACACCAGCAATGGCGAGCGGGAGGGCCGGTCGAACACGGTGCATCACGTGACCGCCACGCGCGGGCCGCGTGCTCGGGGCTTCGGTGATGGCGCGCAGTGGAGTGCCGGCCGAAGGGATGCGCGAGTTTACGATGCCCGGGCCGCGCGGGATAGACAGACGGCGGCGGGAGCGTTTTCATCAGCGTATAAAACGGGCAGTTGCGGGGCGTGTGGAGCGGCTCACGATACAAATAGATGCAAATTCTTAATGTATACCTGCAGAGTTTGCAACGAAGAAGGGCATTTAAGAAAAGTGTGTCCACGTTTGCGGAGGAGGGCTACAGTACATACTATGGAGGTAAATGAAGAGGGCAAGGAGGATGCTGTGCAACCTTTAGAGGTACATATGAATAATTTTAGTAGTACTTATAGTTATGATTTTTATAAGCCTCTAATGACTTGTATTGAAGTAGATAATAAAAATATCCAAATGGAAATTGATACCGGAAGTGCTATTTCCTGTGTGAGCTATGATTTTTACAAAAGTAAATTTAATGATTTACCATTATTGACAACCAATATAGTGCTATGCTTTTATACTGGTATTAAAATTGTTCCGATCGGGAAAATTAGGCCGACTGTCAAGTTCAGAAATAAACGTGTCTCATTAGATTTGTTTGTTGTGAAACAAGGCAAAAATCCTTTGTTGGGTCGGCAATGGATATACGAATTAGGATTAAATGTTGCCGATTTACATTGTAATTTTGTTAGAACTAGTACTACGGCATTAAGTATGGATTCGTTAATTTCCAGATTTAGTGATGTGTTCGAAGAGGGTCTGGGTCGTTTCACTGGTGGTGCGGTGTCGCTGCGTGTGCGCGAGGGCGCGCGGCCCGTGTTCCGGCGCGTGAGGGCGCGCGGCCGCTTGCTTACGCGCTGCGTGAGCCAGTGGAGCGGGCGCTTGAACAGCTGGAGCGGGACGGCGTCATCGCGCCCGTTGACACTTCGGACTGGGCCACGCCAATTGTACCCGTTATAAAAAAGGACGGATCTATACGGATTTGCGGTGACTATAAAATCACATTAAATAAATGCCTAGAAGTGGACCGTTTTCCCTTACCTAAGGTAGAAGATTTATTGGCTAAGTTACATGGGGGGGAAAATTTTTCGAAAATAGATTTGTCGCAGGCTTATGCACAATTTGAACTTGACGAACCCTCTAAAATGTACACTGTGATCAATACACACAAAGGTCTTTTTAAATATAACCGATTAATCTATGGTCTTTCGTCTAGTCCGGGTATTTTTCAAAGGAAATTAGAACAAATGTTTGCCGACATGCCTACAGTAGGGGTATTTTTAGATGACGTGATTTTAACAGGAGTCGATAATAATTCTCACGTAAAAACATTATACCAAGTTTTGGAAAGGTTAAAACGTTTTGGGTTAAAAGTAAAAAAAGAGAAATGTACTTTTTTCGCAGAATCGGTGACTTATTTAGGTTATGTAATTAGTAAAGAGGGTGTACATACTTGCCCGCAAAAGTTGAGCGCGATTAATAAAGCACCAGTCCCGAAAAATATTTCCGAGTTGCGTTCGTTTTTAGGCTTGGTAATGTACTACGCTAAATTTGTAAAAAATATAAGCATGCTGTTATCTCCTTTATATAAGTTGTTACGAAAAGATTCTAAGTTTGTTTGGACGGATCAGTGTTCAGAGGCTTTTACGAATGTCAAGCAGTTGCTAGTTTCAAGCGAGGTGCTAGCGCATTATGACCCAGGATTGCCAATTATTCTGACGACGGACGCTAGTGCACGCGGGGTGGGGGCGGTCATATCACACAGGATGCGCGACGGCCGCGAAAGACCTGTCGCTTATGCATCCCGAACGCTTAGTGCGGCTGAAGTAAACTACTCACAGATACAAAGGGAAGCATTGGCTATCATATTCGGTGTCACAAAGTTTCATCAATATTTGTACGGCCGGCATTTTTTGTTAAAGACTGATCACAAACCGCTCGTCAGTATTTTTGGTGAAAAGGCAGGTATACCTACCATGACGGCCAGCAGGTTACAGAGATGGGCAGTTATTTTATCAGGGTATCAATATGATATCGAGTATGTACCGACATTAAAAAATAGCGCGGATGCATTATCTAGGCTACCTATCGAAAACAGCTGTGTGGAAAGGGAAGTAATAACATATGTAAATTTTGTTCAGGATTTTTTACCAATAACAAAAGATTTAGTTTGTGAAAAAGTTAAAGAGGATAAAATTTTAACGGGAATTAGTATGTTTTTACGTTCAGGGTGGCCAAATAAATGTCCAGCATCGGACATAGAACCTTATTTTTCTAGGCGAAATGAATTATATTTAGACTCGGGATGTATCATGTGGGGATATCGGATGGTAATACCATCCGAGCTGCGTGATTGTATTTTAAAAGAACTGCACACGGGACACATGGGTATAGTAAAGATGAAAAGCATAGCTCGTAGTTACGTTTGGTGGCCCGGAATAGACGCGGATATTGAGCGAACTTGCCGAGAGTGTGTAGTGTGTGCGCTAGAGGCGCCCGCTCCGCCGCACGCGCCCCCTAGCCCGTGGCCTTATCTCGCCGAGCCCTGGAGTAGACTCCACATAGACTTTTTGGGACCTTTTGACGGGTATACTTTTTTTGTAGCGGTGGATTCGACAACAAAATGGATTGAGGCGTATAGAATGTCTCACCAGACAGCCAGGGACGTAATTAAAGTTTTAAGGGAAATATTTTCTCGATTTGGTCTCCCGAAAGAAATAGTGTCTGATAACGGACCCCCATTCACTAGCAAAGAAATAAGTAATTTTATGGAACATAATGGTATAAACCACACCTTCACTCCAGTGTACCATCCGTCATCGAACGGGGCAGCTGAAAACGCGGTAAAGCTCTGCAAAAAAGCTCTAAAGAAAGCTTTACACGAAAAAATTGATTTTGACACAGCGCTGCAGTCTTATCTTTTTGTATATCGAAACACGGTTCATAGTTCAACTGGTCAAACACCAGCTATGTTGTTGCAACATAGAAATTTACGATCTAGATTAGATCTTCTTTGCACTGCAAAGAATAATAATGCTGTAACCAACGCACAAAAAGCGCAGGAAAATCAGATAAAAAATGCCGGCGGGGTCCCGCGTAGTTTTGAAGTAGGAGAGGAGGTATGGGTTAGAGATTTTGGCACGGGGGATGATAAATGGTCTAAGGGTAAAATAGAAAAAAAAATAGGTTCCCGTAATTATAGTGTAGCTCGGGAAAACGGTCAACTTATTAAGAGGCACATAGATCAGATACAAAGGAGATCGCAGATTTCAATACTTTCGTGCCCCAGTTCGGGTCCAACTGATTGCGTTAGCGCGCCAGCCGCCGCGCCGGCAGTGAACGATCCGGACCCCTGTGTACGGGTCAGAAAACCGGTAGAAAGATTCGGCAACCCCGTGTTTTATTGAGTATTGTTTTTTTTTTTGGTTACAATATAGTTGTAATTATATTTTCTTTTGTACTTCATTATTATTATTTTTTTTTGGTTTGTTTATCATTGAATAAGTGGTAGGGTGTAATGTATGTATTAGAGATGTTATAAATTACTTTCAACCTTAATACTAAGTAATAAGATTGGTTTTGTCAACAAAGTTAATATTTTATATTGAAGGTATCCACAACTGTTTTCGTTATAATTTTATAAGGTGTCATCCTTCCTTCTTGAATAAACCGTTGTACAAGACGAACGTGTTTTCATTACGGCAACTCACAAACAGTTCTAAGAAACAAATAATTATGATGTAACTTACCCAAGAGCAATTGTGGAGGTTAAGCAGCTTTCGCTATGGTCGCTCATTGGATGGATGATCTGAATCTTATTATCTCGAGCTCCTGCGTGCTTCGGAAGGTACGTTAAGCCATTGGTTTCAGTTGCATTCGTTAGCATCCACCAATTCGCACTGGGCCCTCGTTGTGGGTCATGGGTCAAACTCCCTTGCCCATCCATAGGAAAGATAGGAAATGAACTTATCATATACGACCGATTGTGACGACCTCCGTGGCGGAGTGGTATGCACTCGAGAGGTCCCGAGTTCGAATCCCGGTGGGGGCAGATGTTTGTGATGAATATGAACATTTTCACTCCAGTCATGGATGTTAAATGTGTATTTCTATATAAATATACTTATATATGTATCAGTATATGTATTCTATACGTTACCCTAGTATTCCATAAGACAAGCCTTATAGTGCTTACTTTGGGACTAGGCTAATTGGTGAGAATGTTGGAAATATTTATTTATTATATATTTGACTTTCATACATTTTACACAGGATCTCTGATTTTGAATAAGCAAGGAGGTAAACCTTGGAATACCTATCAGCTGCTATCTCGTCGACAATGTCGATGATGTAACGAATGACATTTTTTGAACATTCGCGAATGCGAATGCGGATACGAATGTCTGGTGCCGACATTCGCGAATGCGAATGCGAATATTTAGTTTTTTTTTAAATTGGCGCCAATTGTCTATGGCATGGTGGCAGTCTCGTTCGAATTGCCGAGTTGATATGAACTCATCCGACTGAAGTGTCATTCCGCTCGCACCGGTCTTTCCGTAAACAAAACAAGTTAATTTTGAGGTTAGTGATTGTGAGTGGTTATAGTGATTTATTAACATGAGTAAATCGAATTCTAGTGAAACATGGACTTATTTCACACTTTGCGATGCTGAACGAGCTAAATGCAAACTGTGTAACAATGAATATTCAAGGAAAGACAGAACTACAACTTCTTCAAATTGTTTTTTTCTAATATTCATATTCGCAAAACATTCGCAGAGATTTGCGAATGCGAATGTGAATGCGAATATTCAAAAATATCCGAATATTCGCGAATAGGCATATTCGTTACGTCACTAGTCGACACCGGTGTTGTGAGTGGCATGTACAGCGGTTTCAGAAGTTCTGGGTTCGAATCTCGATGGGGCGGTGCAAATGTTTGTATGTTGAATATGAGCATTTAAACCGAAGTCATGGCCCTTATATGTATGTATTTCTATCCGTTACCCCAACATCCTAACTTTGAGGTTAATCTAATTAAGGTCAGTGTTTAAAATATCTTTTTATATTGTACTAACATTTGTCTGTGATAAAAAGTATCCTTTGTCTCAATTTCGATCATAAACTACATTTCTACCAACCAAATTTCCTCAAAATCCGTTCAGTAGTTTTGTGTAACAAACAAACAATTCCACTTTGGCTCCTTAATATTAAGTAAGAAATGCATGGACATAGTGTTTCTTATTATTTGTTATTTAATGGGTATTAGTCATTTTTCATAACAGTAATATTGTACCTATCTAATGCCGCTTCCTATATACTAAATATAATGTTAACCATAAAATTAATTGTACCTACATATTTATATTCTAAATGATGTAATGGAAAGTGACTTCAGACGTATTTCTGAAGTCATTTTTCATCTTGAAGACTCTGTATATAACAATACAGGGAGAAAAAAACAGCCCTTGCTGAGTTTCTTGCCGGTTCTTCTCAGTACAAGGTCAGTAGTTTTGCGAACCGATGGCGTAGCTTCTTGACCTTCACAAGTGCTTGTAACAAGCCTAGACTGAATAAATGACTTTTCATTTCATTTCATTAAGTAAGGAAATATGATATTGTCTCACATGCGTCGGATCTCGGGGTTGGGGTCGTCTAGCATCTTGAAGAGGCCGTCGAGTAGATCAGGCAAGTAGGTCAGCAGTTCTATATCCGGCACAGCATCCAGTACTCCCACCCACGAGACCACGAATTGTCGCGCGAAAGCGTTGCGGGTGTAGATGCGCTCGCGCAACATCGGCACGAAGGAAGCGAGGTCGAATGATGTGCTCTCCGTCACTATGTCCTGTTTGAACAATGAATGTATCTATTCTCTCATTTGAAGCGAAGATAATTCTTCCATATAAAGACCATGCAACAGATCATTAGTGTTATAGCTGTTTACACATTTGCAAATAACTTAATGAGGTATCATTTAATATAGATAAAGAAATAAACTTATTTATTTTACTCGTCTTAGATGTTGAAAATGAGTTTAAAATGACAAGTGCAAACCCTCAGCTATATGTATTAAAAATCTATAACAATGTGTCTAAAATGTTAGGATTTAAAAATTTTAACTTTACCAATCATACAGTATACATTGTGTACTTACAAATTACAGAAGGCTTTTTCTTAATGCGATTTCAATGTCTGAATAGGGTATTTGACAAGTTTTAGAAAACGATATCACGTTATTGACTAATGTTTATGGAGTCCGTAAAAAGTGGATATTCATCATTCTGTTGTGTATTTCAGTAAAAATAACCAAATCAAAAACTCCATTTTCAAGTTGCCGCGAAAACGTTTATCTGGACACTACTAGTGTGTGACGTCACACGATTGTTATTAAAACGTCAAAAGATACAATGTAATGTCACTATAACCGGAAGTTTACTTGCGTGTGACGTCATTTTAGGCTCCGCCAATCCAAAGCGTTTTGGGTCATGTGACAATAGATAAGAAAACTATTATCTATTTCTTGGGGTTTTAGTAAAATTATGAATATTTTTTTGTATAAATAGTAAAATCCCCTGCCAGTATTCATTCTAAACACAGATGCTAAAATTGGCACCTTATTTTTAATGCTGTCAAATACCCGATTGTAACAACTATTGCATTTTTTTTTAAATATAAGGTCATTGCCCTATCTTCTTTACAAAAAGGCACTTATAAAAAGAAAAAAAAAAGAGTGCTTTTAATTTAAATCCACCTTGAGCAGCCGGTCCAGGAGCTCAGCGCCCTGCTTGACCTGGGGCTCCGGATCCGCAGCCAGGCGCGCCAACGCCTCGAAGACGGGCGGGAAGTGCTCCAGCGCCGCGCCTCGAGCGATCTTCAATACATTAAACAGCGCCTCGGCCGCCTGGTAGCGCACCCGGGACTCGCTCTCGCTGAAGCACGCCAGGATCGGGTGCACCAGCTCCGGCAGGTAGTTCACGCAACCCTGACACGACAAACCTACAGTCTCCCACTGACAAACGGTAAAACATAGCCTATTCCAATAGATAGTAGTGAGGTATATTATAACCAACCACAAATGTGGATTTGGTTGAAAAAAGTGGTTGTAGTACAAAATCAATAAACTGCTAGCGATATAACATGTTAATTTATTGAGTATACATATTATAACACTGACTGCTAGAATGTTTCATTTCATTTCAAGCTGTCAGTTTTTCAAGAACTTGAAATACAAATATTGATAGGTAAGTTTCGTTATTTTAAATAGTGGATAGTTTTAAAAAAATTTGAAGCTAGCAGAGAAAAAAAACTATGTTAATGAATTAGTCTTAAATCATATTTTAACTTTCTTTGTATTTTAAATATATTTTAAGGAAATTTTTAAATGATCCTCAAAAAAATAATAAATGATCACATATAATAACAATTGGTAACCTGAAGATAAAAAATATTTGCCTATATTTATTTATCAATTGTTTTAGTGATTCATTTATATTATTAAATATCTTCTGCACTCTGCCACACAGTCGCTAAGGCTTTTCTTTCTTTTCTTTATTTTGGGGCTTTTATCCTTGGAAATCACTCTCCTTATTAGAGATATAAAAGAAAGTAATAGATTTGAGCTGGCGGCAACATATAAGGTAGTTAATTTAGGTAAGGTAGTTAGTTAAAAGTGATATACAGGTAATATGGTTGTATACAGGCAAGAATCAGGTGTCTCCACTGCCAATTTTCATTATCTATGATAATAATAATATATATTTTTGATATTGTAAGTACATGGAGCTACGTAAAACAAATAAACCTTTCCTAATCCAACTGCCACAGAGGACAACCCCATCAAAGCACCATTCTTCACGTTGGGATTGGTAGAAGACATTAAATCCTGCCCCAACACGCGAATGAGTCTTTTGATTTGGCTAGTATTGTTTGCATCACTGAAATCTTTCACCATCCTGAAAACATATATAATTTTAAGGCAGTAAATATTTAAATCTGAAGAAACCATCGAAAAACTACTATTAATTAAAAGCACAAAATTAGCCTTTTAATTTGTTTGTCACAAACAATAACTGAGCTAAATTTTAACAAAATATTATAATTGAAAACAGATTTAGGCTAAAACAACAAAGGCATAGTAAGTAAATTAGCAATATACTTAAATAATATTTATTAACAGGAATCCATCATGTGTTTATGAGTTGCATTACAGAACATAAATAACATTAATAATAAATAAAACTAACTTTTCAATTTCAACACCAGCAAATTTCCTCTTATCATATATTTTGTCGCAGAGCCCGCGAACGCAGGCAATGCTTAAAGGTGCGTAATCTCTTTCAGTCATTTTTCAGCCTTTTAAAAATTAAAATCATTTATCAATTAAATACTGTTTTGTAAATAATTATTTCTATTTTATCAACCAACACTACCCACACACACCTTGGAATGTCACTCAAATAAAATGTCAATGTCAAAATCAAGGCTGCCATAAGTGATTTTCTAATTTCCGCCAGATTGTAAATTAATAATAAATAATAAAAAGGTATCATTTTGGTTTACGCCAAAATGATACCTTTTCAGAAAAAACCGTCAAAACTAAATTTTAGCACATAAATGGAGATTTGACAATATTCATTTTATTTTATTTTATTTATTTTATAATTTATATATATATATATTTACTAGCGGCCGCCCACGACTTCGTCCACTTTAACTTAAGTTTTTTCAGAACCCTATAGGAACCTCAAATATTTCCGGGATAAAAAGTATTCAATATCTCAATCCAGGTCAAAAGCTATATCCGTACCAAATTTTATTCGGATCCGTGAAGTGGGTTTTGCGTAATCAAGTAACAAACACAGATAGTTTGGTAGGTGACAACGTTATGACCAGCTCTTGGTTCTCACTAACAGAAGCCAGTGCCGACTTGATAGATCAGGACTCTGCAGTCAACATCCTTTCGCAAATGGTTGCGGATGCCCCTCATGCCTCGGGGTATCCCCATTATGGGTGGGTCCATTTGAATCGCACGCTCACTGGTGGGGTTGTTAATGCTGCCGTAAACGAATGCGTCAAAATAAAAAAAAGGACTCCTGACTTTATCATACCTGCATTAAGAAGGACAGGTTCGATTCAACGGACGATTACAATCATGCATAACTTATCAACCCATGTATGTGTGTGTGTATGTGTCTGTTTCTGTGATTCTGCCATCATAGCATCGAAAAAATTACACTACGAGACGACAGCACTGATATCGTTCATCGTCATACAAAAATGGTTTTATTACAATGTCGATTAGACATCGTATCGTATATTTCTATGCCATCAAAATTCACGGGACTTATTTCAAGACACTAGTGGAAATGGACATAGGAGTTTGCTACTCTACAAATTATGCATAATCCCAAAACATGAAATGGCATGAATAAGTGATTCGTCCACGGGTTTCCTGTATCTGGCAGAATCTTGTAGCTCCGAAATTCATTCGGCTTAATCTTCTTGAAACGAGTATTGTAAGTCATATTTTTTATTTAGTGTAATTGTTAATTGGCCGAATGTTTTACGTAAGAATTCACAACAACATAATTTTACCTTTGGAAAAAAAAAACCTATTGTGCTCAATTTTGCTAAGCATTATCGATATTTGTAGTTAGTAGTTTAGATACGGTTAGTGTTGTAACCTAATATGCAAAATAATATTATGATATTAAAAGTTCTCCATTACAAAGTTTCACCCCTCTCTCGTGTACATTAATGCACATGGATTAGTAATTGATGCACAGGGACGAGGGACTCTCCCACCCGTCTTTATTTTACTACCCTTTTACTAAAACTTGCCAAACTCAATTTCTTTCCGCCAAGGAATTTAATCGTCCAAAATCTCGCCACGCCCAAAATTTTCCGCCAAAATAGCGGATTAATATCCCAATCTGGCATCATTGGTCAAAATAACTGCCAGTGTCAGGTCAGATGTCACTTTTTGTTTTAAATTTTTGTGGGTAATTAAAGGATACTTAGCCCATACAGAATGTTGAGATTTATTTTAATTCTTTAACTTCTTTGATTTAGAAATTATCATCACCCGGTTAATAATATCGTGGCCACGGCCCTAAAATCACCGCAGTAGCGGAGTCTTTTGTTCATGGTGCCCTTCTCAGCATTGCTTTTAGACACACATACTAAACTTAATTCATGAATGTGGCTTGTGGCTGAATGAACGGAGTTATTTCAGCCTTCTTCAAAGGAGAATTAAACTGAAAAAAACTAAAGTCACGAGTCTGATCGGCTGTTTTTATTAGTGATATTTTGCTGTATTTCTGTGTTGTTTGTATCCATAAAACATTTTCGACTTTTTCGATTTCACTATACGTTTACTCATCGATATGTAATTACGACCATTTATTACTCTCCAATGTAATTAAGATCGAAATTGTGCTGTGGTGTTCGTTAACGAGAGTTTAACGCGTTGTTAAATTAGTGAATGTGAACAATATGCCTGTGGCACTAGTAGACAGGCTGCCCTTGCCGAACCTCAAGGTTTACACAGCGGGAAGTGTTTTGTTGCTTTCTGTGGCTCTGTTCCATGCTATTAGTGTGACGAGTGATCCCAATTGGAGAGCGCACACGACTCTGCAGCGGCAGAAAGTGATGGCCGCGGAGGGTGATGCTGATGTCGTGAAAGTGGTGCAAGTGGTGAGCCCGCCCGCGCTAAACATGTCCATCAACGGCACCAGGAATCTCACGGAGCAGTTTGTTGAAGTTATGACGTTTATGATGCAGGAACCACTATGTATGTGGGTGAGTACTGGCTCACAGCTGTTTGTATCAACAAATTACAAAAAGTAAATATATACTAGTGCCAATTCTGGCATGATACTCTAAACTTAAAAATAAATTTAACTTCGGTCTCTCCTTTTCATTCTGTTTAGAGAATGACAAGGATGCACTGTTGTCAAATTTAGTTTAAAGTTTAGAGAATCGCAATAATTGACACCATATTATACTTCATGAAATGTTATTTTGGTGGTCTCTTAGAGTTCCTAAAGTCAAATGAAATATGTACATTCAAAATATTTTCTGTCCAAACATCTTTAAAACTAAAAGGTACTTGTTGGCTGTGTGCCAAAATAAATCAGTAAACAATTGTTGGCTCAATCACAATATTACTATTCTGATATAATACAACAACAAACAAAACACAACTTTCAAAATATGTATCGAAATTCTTCTTGTTTACGCCACATATAGAATAATATATAAATGAAATACAAAAGTGAAACTGATAAGTATCAATATTAATTATAATTTAAACCTTAGTTGTGGAACTATCTTTGGTGCGCCATGGTTTAGATAATCCTATTCCTTCCCTTTTCCTCACATCACTCCTACTTGATTTGTGAAGATGCAAGCAGAACGCAGTGACGTTTATAGTGGCCATTATATGTTAATTTGGTAGTGACTTCTTGATAGCGTTAGCATTAACATTACTTATGTAAACTACCCAAAATTATCAAATTAATATTTAAATAAATCTGGACATTACTCCAGTTAAGTGCTAGTGTCAACAGCAAGATACATTACATATCTCAGCACATTAGTGCAATCATCATTTTCTTAAAATTATATTTTTTTATTTTAATAAAAGTTATTCAGGTAACTTAGGCCAATTTGCAGCAACTTTGTTAAATTTAGATATAAATAAAACTAGATTTACCCCTTTAGAATTTTTATTTGATTGAGAGTGATATAGGCACTGCATAATTACAAATACTTTTTCAATCATGTAGAACTTACAAGTTAAAAGTATTTGCAAACCCAGGTTGCCATGTGTTGAATTACCTTGATTGGTTAGTTAAAATTTGGTTAAACTGAACTACCTGTTGAAAAATTTGAACCTCAAGAATTTAAATACTGCCATTATGTTGTTATTTAAAAGCTGATCTAGTTATATTTTATACTGTGATAAAACTTTACTTGTATTAAACAATATGGCTCTAATGCAAACAAATAGATATTAAAACAAACAGTCATTAAGCAACATTATTATTTCACTGTTTAGTAGTATTTACGTTTAATAATTTTTTATTGATGGTCACAGTGACAATTATACAATGGTCTGTTTGCACAAATTAATCGTAATTATGTGCTAATAATTAATTTTGATAATGACCAACGAAATTACAAAATTATTGCTTGCAGTTGTAGCCATGAACTAATAAGATTTATAAATAATAGTTATAACATTATTTTTATTGAAGTTATACTTCTTTAGGCGCGTTATGAAAAAATGATGAGAGTGAAATTTTAAGATGCGCGCATCACTGTAACACTAATTTTTAACAGCATGAAGTTGGTCGCTTTAGCGACCAACTTCATGCGTTACTTTTGTGTATACCGCATATTAAGAAAATCTACCAACATAATAGAAATAGAATCTCTATTTAGTGGGTGCTAACGACTGCATTGTGAAGGCCTATCAAAAGTATTTATTAATCTGGAACAACGGAACCAAAGCGCGATTCAGGAGACTACAGCGCCATCTCTTGACCATTGGTGTAGTAGAACCAAAAACCACACCTTTATTTTTTGTAATAAAGTAACAGTTATAGGTATTCATATTTATAATATTTATCCACATGTTTCTAGTTTGTATATTCGGAATACGTGTTTGAGTTTCATACAAGTGCAAATCACATATGTTCTAATAAATTATATTCAGTAGCGATTTTAATTGAATATTTTGATTATTTATTTATTTTTTCAAATTAAAACTGAACTTTATTGACTGTGTCATTTTCCAGACTTTTTATTAATTTATTGTAATTCATTATTTGCATGTAATTAAAAACTAATTTTAAACGATGCCAAAGAAGGATAACTTCTCACGCGCCTACATAAGTACACGCACCCATTTTTTTGCATCACTTGTTTATTTTAAATACTAATTGCAACACATTGTGGTGTATAAGTAACTGTAAATTCTTTATTTGAGCAGTCATTCTTACTTAGTTTGTTTGAGTGTCAAGAACCTTTGTGGGTGTCAAAGACAACAAAAACAGTTTAACAAAAGTAATATTATGGCAATATGAGTCGTGAAAGTTGGTTTTCAGTATTATTGTTAATATTTTAATGCTTTCATATTTATATTGGAAACATTAGGAAGCCTTGTGTGTTGGAATATGGAAGTAATTTTTAAATTATTAAAATCGGTAGATTTTTTTCATCGAACCAGCTTTCTTCACCGTCTATCTAGTTGAACGCAAACTCAGTTCTTAATTAATTGCAACATTGTCACTGTACTGCCTTTAGTGTAAGAAAACAACACATTACATAGAAGTCTGGGGATGAAAACTGTTTTGTGTGTTTTGTGTATGCTTCTGAAATTTCATTTATAATGCCTGTCACTTGTATAGAGATTGCCCAATCTGCAGAAGAGTTCAAATACAGACATGTTAAACGTG